TGGGGGGCATAGAGGGTTACCATTGCCCAACAGGCAAGTCAGCAGTTCGGATCTGCAGCCCAGCCAAGAGGAACAGGCCATGCTCCCTAGTTAGCCTGCCCGCCTCCTGCAGGGTCTTGACACTTCATTCTTGTGGCAGCAGCGCCACCTGGTGGTTGCCTCTGGGGCCTGTCCTTCCTTTGCCTTCTGTGTAGAGGTGGAATTACCTGGAGGGCAGAACTTCTCTATGAGTTCTGCCTCCGCTACCTGTGGGATTGGGAGTCAGTGGCTTTAATGGTATGAGAGACAGTTTCTCATCTGGGAGTTAAAATAATGATAGTGCCTATTCTTAGACACTTCTGAAATTTAAATGAGATACATGCAGAGACTTAGCCTCAAAGAACCAGAAGGCTATGAACACCCTGGGAGAATTGGTTGTTGCCATCGGCACAGGGGTCCATTCCTACTGATGACCCCTTTCCAGGAGTTCCAGCCCTCTTCATCTAGACGCATCTATCGTTCCCACGGCCTCTAGGCTTTGTATTTCCCTCCCTGCCCCAGTGTGACTCTTCGGTGTGTGTATATTTATTTTTGTTCATTCATTCATTCACTCACTCATTCATTCATTCTCTTTGTGATAAGCATGTATGTATGCCCAGTGAACAACACATGGCTAGCCTTAGCCCTTTATAGCAAGGAAACAAGGATCTTGGGTAGTAAAGCCCACACATACTAGGAGGGTGACCACTTAAGGTCCCCGTGGGACATTCAGTGAGCCTCGTTGGAGACCCCCTCTCTTTCCATGCTTGAAGGACTAGACTCATTGATGGTAAGGGGAGGGTCTGCTCCCCCACCAGGACTTCTATACCCTGGGTCATGGGCCCAGTTTCCACACCCCCACTCTGCAGGCACAGTGGTCCTGGCCCCTCCGGGGTCTCCACACTGGGATCAGAGTTACAGAACCGCTGTCACTGTGAAGAGCCGTGCCCCAGGACGCAAGCCCTCACTCCATTGGGAGACAGACCCTCCAGCTCCCACTCAGCCTCGGGGAATGGCTATACCATAGTCCACTCCCAGGTAGCACCACGTGCCGCCCCCTGCTCCAGTCCCCAGGCACCTGCCCTTCTCACTGCGAGAGCACCACGGGCCTACAGAGTCAGGTTCCCACACACTGAGGATTGTCTCCTGCTCGCTCGTCCCAACCCCAGCACACCTGCGAACAGGTACACAAAGATTTTCCTAGGGGAAAAAAAACGGATGCAAAGATGAGTAGGAGTCTGGTGCTGGGCGCTTCCAGAGCAGAGAGGAAGACAGATGGCCAAGGCCAATGAGACAAACAGCTCTCCCAGCCTTTGTGACTTCCGCCGGAGATCCCGACTCGGAATACCTGCCATCTGTGATGTGAAAATATTAAATGGAAAATTCCAGAAACAAAAAGTTCCCAACGTTTAAATTGCTCGCTGTTCAGGGCGACCTTGTTGAAATCAGGAGCCGTCTCACTTCGTCCTGCCAGGACACGGAATCATCACCTCGCCCGGCTGCAGAGGTAGATAGATACCCACGATGCAGATGGGGTGGAGAGAAGCCATAAGGTGCCTGCAAGGGTCAAAGTTTATCATAAGTACGCATGTAGAGGAAGACACAGTGTATACAGGATCAACACTCTGGGGGTTCCAGCACCCACTGGGCACCCAGGGTTTTCTAGCAGGGTCCCTGCAGCTGACCCAGAGGCAATTGGACGGCCTCTGGGTACCTTGGCCTGCCCATAGCCAACTCGTGTCTCCCAGGCCTGCCCCAGTTGTCCCAGATATCGCTGCCTCAAGAAGAGCTCTTTTAAAAAAATGTTAAAACTGTGTGTTTGTGTGTGGAGGTAGGTAGGGGTTGGTATAGGAGTGAGAGTGGGGGTGCCCACAGCGACCAGAGGGTCCCTTGGAGCTAGAGCTCCAGGTGGTTGTGAGCTCAAGTCTTCTGCAAAGGTCATATGCACTCTTAGCCACAGATCCACCTCTCCAGACTCCTCAGAGGAATCCTTAAGGACACGTGGGACAAGGCAGCTGACGGGGGGAGCGGGATGAAGGAAAGGGGCCCTGAGGAAGAAGGCAGAAAGTTCTTTTGCTTCTAAGGCAGCCGCTGCTTTTCAGCCCCTTAAGCCTCTGTTCTATAAGCTTAGCTTGGGTTCCAGGCTCCCCCTTGGCCTGGAGGAAGAGCGTCTGACCTATTACGTGTTGGATTCTTACCCTGGGAAGCAGGGAGGAGGTATTCCCTGGAGGTTGCACCAGGTAAGCACACTGTACAGGAAAGAACATCTTCATGATGGACTGTCCCCAGCACTGTGACCAGATCCCACATCCTCCCTGCTAAGCCATCAGGCACTCCCCACACACCCTTCCCTTGTCTCCACTGTCATCCTTCGCCAAAACCAGAAATCACCTTTCTCCTTGCCTCATTGTCCCTGCCCCCATGGTCCTAACTCTCTACACACCCAGATGTTGAACCCTCTCATAGTACAATGGCCACACTTCCTGACTTCCCCTCCCTGACTCCCATCCTCTCTGGCAAGAACCAGCTTATTTATTTATTTATTTATTTATTTATTTATTTATTTATTCATATACTTGCTTATTTATTTTTATGTATACAATGTTCTGTCTGCATGTATGCCTGCCCGCCAGAAGAGGGCACCAGGTCTCATAAGTGGTTGTGAGCCACCATGTGGTTGCTGGGAATTGAACTCAGGACTTCTGGAAGAGCAGCCAGTGCTCTTAACCTCTGAGCCATCTCTCCAGCCCAAGAACCAGCTCTTTCTAGAATGCACATGGGTCTGGTCCTTGCCACTGGATGCAATATTAATGTCTTAGCCCAGACTTAACCTTTGGGCAGGGCCCTCTGTGACCCCCAAAATTCTCCAGACCCTATAAGAACAGGAAAACTGTCCCTTGGGTCCTTGATGCCTGCTTGAGATAGGCCAAACCTTGGAAAGGTTGGGAGAAAATACAGTTGGTTCTCCACACCCCCAGCTCCGCTTCTGCCAATTCTACCAACTACAGATGGAGGATAATCAGGAGGAAGCATGGCATCTGTATTGAACATATGCAGGCTTTTATCTTGTTGTTATTCCCTAAACAATCAGTCTAACAACCAGCACTCCGCACTTACACTGTGGTACATGGTACAAGTCATTTAGAGTGGATTTAAAGGATACAGAAGGAGGCGTGAGGTTCTATGCAAATGCCGCATCCTTTTATAGAAGCGACTCGAGCGTTTACCAATGTGGTATTGGCTGGAGTACTAAAATCACTCCCCCAGCAGACGTCAAGTGATGGCCATGTATGTACTTCCCACTCCTTGTCGCTTGGGGTGCCTGCCTGCACAGCAAGGCTCACAGACTACAGCACATAGTTGCTGTTTTCTGAAGTCCTGCCTTCCTGGGGTCCCCCTCTGTAGTGCAACTCCTGTCTGGGACAATGCTCCCCAAATCTGTCTCTTTACCCTGCCCTATAGAGATCTTCCTTGGGATTCCAAAGCTAGGAAGTGGGTCCTAGACCCCTGGAGCTCTATCCCCATAGCACGAACCCCTTGGGGCTGGGGAACGCTGGTAACAGTCTGCCTTCTTGGAACAGACAGAGAACAAAACAAGACAAGAACAAAAACACAAATCAATATTTCAATAAATTATCCTGCCGCGGCAGTGAAATCACCTTGTCTGCCAAGAGAGGCTCAGGATGGGAGCCCAGCATTGGGGGAAGGATGCAATCAGCCAGTGTCCAGTCTGTGGCGTGGTGGGGGTGTTCTGGCCACTGCAGGGTCGGGGCCCTGTCTGCAAGGTGGGGAGGGGATCCTTCCATGGGAGGAGATGCTGTATTCAGAAGTTCTTAAGTGAGTGACTTGGGGAGAGGGGTGGGAGTTTGTTCTATCCGCTACAGCCATTTTCATTCAAGCTAACCCAGCTATTGGGTTGGGAGGTGCTTGGGAATTGAACCCAGGTTTTTGTGATCTGGGCTGGCACTTTACCCACTGAGTGTGTAAACTTTACATTCATGATAGAGACATCTGGTCTGGCAAGCCTGGGCCTCTCTTCTTAAATGCCAGCCATGGGCCAGTGTTCAGTGGACATGGCCCCTGAAGATACCCGAGTTTTCAAGCTCTTTCCAGAACCTCTTGGCGGTGGGGGAAGAGGTTCTGTCTGCATAGTATTGACCAATTTGCTCTTACCCTGCGTCAACCTGGCTCCTGCCTCGGGTCCTGGTCCCCTCCTGCTTGCTGCTCCTAATACCTGAGTGTACATTTCTGGCTGGACTCTCCAGTCTCTTCAAAGACTTGGCCGGAGATCTCTTCCCACATTGGTGTAGGGCATGCCGGTCAGCTGGCTGCTGTCTTTCACTTGCCAGCCAGTGTCCTTGCCTCGAATGCTCATGCTTCTCACCAAAGGCGGAGTGCGTTGCTCTGAGTTCTTTTGGATGCAGGTGACAGTAACACACCTCAGAATTACTTGACTCCTGTGGGGCAAGTGGGAAAGGCAGCCTGACAGTCCCTAGGACTGTGGTGTGGTAGCCTCCCCTGTCTGTAGGCTAGACCGAGATTGGTTAGTAGACCAAACCTTTGTGTTCAACATGCGTGTGTTCTTATGTTGTCTCTTCAGTCATTAGTACTAGAGGAAGCAAGCTGCCAATTGTGAGCTGTCTGTAGAAGGGCCGGGGTGGCATGATGAGCCCCCCCCCCCACCCAACAGTCTAGGGCTAATGGGGTCCTGCTTCTAACTGAGGAGTGAGCTTGGTAGAGGGGAGACTTGAGACAGGTCTGCAGGCCCACTTCACATTTGACAGTGTGGAACTCATGCAGGCGAGGGTGACCTTCTCTTCCGTTCAGAAGAGGGGAGCTGAATGGGAGTGGCCCAGCAGGAAGCTGCGTGGTCCTGGACCAGATTCCCAGTGGCTAAACTCAGTCAGCACAACTCCCTGTTCAACCCCGAGTAATCTGCCAGATGCCAACCCCGTCCTTCTGTCTGTCTCCGCCCACTGTAGTCCATGAGCCTCATTGAGATTGGGAACCCCTCTCAGAGTCTGGAGAATGTCTGCCGCTGGGCCTACCTCCAGCAGAAGCCGGACACTGACCACGATGAGTACCACGATCATGCCATCTTCCTCACACGGCAGGACTTCGGGCCCTCGGGCATGCAAGGTTAGCTGGGTGCCTACAGATGCTGGCGAAGAAGCTGGGGCCTGCAAGGGGCTAGCCTAGAGAAAAGGGGCAGGACATAGAGGGGGTGTGGCTACCTTAACTGCCTGAGTGTCTGGGTTGGCCGTATCAACTTTCTGGCTCTAGAAAACCATCAGAGCCTGTATCATGGCCCTGGCCCCCATCTCACCCCCCCCCAAAAAAAACAAAACAACTGCACCCCAAGGAACAGAGGAAGGTCAGGAATGGCTGGATAAACCTGATAGGGCTTGACAGCCTGAAGATGAGACTGTGTCCAGAGTCCGGGCTTCAGGGTTGTTTCTTCCCCTGGCTACTGAGATAGGTTACCAAGTGATTCTTTACGCAAGGGTTCAAACTACATAAAACCAAACAGATATAAAAGAAAAGCAATTGTCCAAACTACGTGGTTGAAGATGTCAATAGACACCTATTAGTAAGCGATAGAAGAACAGATAAGAAAAGGAGTGAAGACATAAAAGCTTTGGGCTGGTGAGGGGAGATGGCTCAGCTGGTAGAGGCACTTGCTGCCAAGCCAGAGGACGCGAGTTCAATCCCTGGGATCCACATGGTGGGAGGAGAGAAGAAACTCCTGCAAGTTGTCCTCTGACCTCCACAAAGGCTTTGTGGCCCTCCTGCACATGCGCCTGTGTGTGTCTGTGTGTGTGCACACACACACATACACAAATGCACACGCGTGCACACACACCAGTGTAATTTTTAAAGCTTGTTTATAAAGCCAACATTGTAATAAATTGATACTTATACCTATTATTAGGTTGGAGGTTGAAATAAATCATAGATACACATGATTTATGTGTATTATGTGTATTAAGCAAAGGACAACCCACGAAAGCCAGCAGCGTAGAAGGATGGAAATGGTAACAGGGGACGCTCAGCAAGAAGCAGAGTCATTCCACAGGGTGAGGAAGAGAGAGCAGGCAGGAAGCTGCCTAGGTGACAGACAAGGCCCAGCAGAGACCTGTGCCAGTGGCATTGTGGATTGTGTCAGGCAAAGTGGCCACCAAGCTCTGTGGATGGGCAGGGGGCCTGCTGTCAGTGCGGGTGTCTTCTGAGTTCCACCAGCAGGGGGCAGTCAATTCTGCAGGACTGCTCTGGGGATGGGTCCTCTCTGGGGCTGCCTGGGAGTAAGACTCCAGGCCTGGAGGCTGGAGCCGCCTTCTGTCTCCTCCCAGGCTATGCTCCTGTCACGGGGATGTGCCACCCGGTCCGCAGCTGCACCCTGAACCATGAGGACGGCTTCTCCTCGGCATTTGTGGTGGCTCACGAGACTGGTCATGTGTAAGTGGCCTGAGCATCCTTGTACAGAGAAATCGGATCCTCTGCTCCGGGCTGACCGCTTTCCCCTGTGCCTGAGAAGAGCAGTCATGTAGGAAAGCCACTTAGCCTTGTTTTCCTGTCATTCTGGCCAGAGGTCAGCCTCAGCTTTCTGCTGACAGAACAAATCAAATCAAAGACAAAAAGCACCAGGGGGCAGAGTGAGCTCTGGGCCATAAGGGAGCCAAGGGCCTTGTGCCGTTATCCCATTCAAGTCCTGGGGTCACGAAGGCTCCGAGGGAGGGTAGCCCAGGGTCAAAAAGCCAGGACTCTGTTCAAATATGCATGTTCCAGGTATCAGTAAAGACCCTGAATCTTGGAGCCAGGTAAGTATTAATGGGTTTTGCAGAGCTGATGGGTGTATCCAGGAGTACCCAGAATGCTCTGGGATATAGATAGCCCTGCCCCCACTGTGCATCCAGGAAATGGTGGCCTTCCTTGGGGACAGGGAGAGGGGCCTGCCTGTGGGTGTCCTCTTCACAGGGTGGCTCTGGCTCCACAACTCTAGTCAAAGTGGGTCAGAGTAGAGACGCCCGGAGATGCCCGCTGTGGTTGTTAGAAATGCCTTGCTGGTTGAGGTATGGGGATACGGCCGGTCAGTGCAGCCAGGCGAGGGTCCAGCCAGGCTGCCTTGCTCCCCACACAGGCTGGGCATGGAGCATGATGGGCAAGGCAACCGCTGTGGTGACGAGGTACGGCTGGGCAGCATCATGGCACCCTTGGTCCAGGCTGCCTTCCATCGATTCCACTGGTCCCGCTGCAGCCAGCAGGAGCTCGGCCGCTACCTGCAGTGAGTACCTCCCTGGGCCCTCGAGGGTGGCCCCTCTTTGGGTTCAATTCTATGAGGGCACAGTGCCCAGTGTGCTTTGGTCCAACCCGAACTCTCAGACCTTGAGGCCTCTAGCCTGACACGCGAGGGATGGGTGAGAGAGCCTGGTGCTGAGAAAGGACCCCACTTTTCGGGGGGTTCCCACTCTGACACTGAGTAGGCCAGAAGCTGCCCTAGCCAGCTCTTGAAACCTCAAACTGGTGGAGGAGGCAAACTGAGACATCACAGATAAAGGCCAGGGTGATAAAGTCTTGGCCACCATAGTGACTCCCAAAAGGACCTCAGCTTCCACACTGAAGGTTGTGCGGCACCCGCGTGTCCCCTTACAGTTCCTATGATTGCCTGCGTGACGATCCCTTCGCCCACGACTGGCCGGCTTTGCCTCAGCTCCCAGGGCTGCACTATTCCATGAACGAGCAGTGTCGATTCGACTTTGGCCTGGGCTACATGATGTGCACTGCGGTGAGTGCAGGGACACAGCAAGTGTCCCCAGGGCCCTGCGGCGATGGCACTTAAGGCATCAGCCGCTTCTGCCCAGGGCCGTAGGGATGCCCACTCGATTTTCACGGAAGATATTCTGCGTCCCGTCTGCCTGTCAAAGCTCCACCAGATGGGCAGTCTCCCAGGCTGGAGACTCGGGGACCCAGCGATACCCAGAGACATTGTCATCTCCACAGTGGGTCCTCGTGGCCCCAGAAACACATGGGCGCTTGCAGCACCCACCCACATAGGCATGCTCACAGCCCAGTTCAGGTTATAGTATGGGGTTGAGGGGGTGGCATTCTAGGTAGCCTGCTAAAGGGGGGGGGGGTAGCCTGATAAACTGAGGGCATTCTCTTCCAGTTCCGGACCTTTGACCCCTGCAAACAGCTGTGGTGCAGTCACCCTGACAACCCTTACTTTTGCAAGACAAAGAAGGGTCCCCCACTCGACGGGACTATGTGTGCGCCTGGCAAGGTGAGTCAGAACTACACAGCCCTGAGTGTCACTGTGTGGGTGAATTCCTCTTCTCCCTTGTGATAGGGACATGGATCCATTTAGTGAGGGCCATGACTTAAGGAACTCCTCGCAGCCCCACCTCCCCACACCACCACACTGGGAATTAAGGCTTTAGTTAGCACATGAGTTTGAGGGGACACAAACATCAAGCCCACAGTGTCCCTCCTGGCCTGTGAGTTCTATTTCCTTCACCAGCTGATGGGAGCATGTCTGTGAGTTCCTCTCTTCCCCCACCTTGTCTAAGCGAGGGAAGCTTTGCAGGGAGAGCTGGAGTAAGCACGGCCCAGGAAAGAGATGCCAGGATCACTTGGTCACTACTGCTGGCCATGTGTCTGCTTGCCCAACTTGACAGCGTCACATGGAGTCCTTGACACGTACTCAGAGCTCTGAGAGGGAGACTCCAGAGAACGACAGCCCCTGCAGGCTTCAGGTCAGGGCTCTCCTTCTACACATGGATGCCAGGGATCAAGCTTAGGTTATCAGGCTTAGTGGCAAGTGCCTTTACTTGCTGAACCATCTTGCTGGCTCCGCATTCATAGTCTGGGGCCCCACACAGACACGAGTACACCCATGTATTCACCCTCATACTCACATGTGCAATGTGTGTGTTTTTCCACATACATGCAAATACACGCAACATGCACACACACATTCATGAATGTACATATGCTCACATATGCACATGTACAAGTAGAAAAAAATGATGATTTTCCAGTTTGGGTCATTTGTATTGTGCTGTTAATTATCTTTATTTTGAGTGATGTTTTCTTATTCTAGCCAGCAAACCATTTGTTGGATTCTGATGTTCTGAAGTACTAATCTACTGTTTTACATTTTGGAATCTTAACCTTCTCATAGGGTTTTATAAGCTTATTCCCTGGGAAGGATGAGACGATGGAATTTAGTGTTTTTTCTGCTCCAGTGTTCTGCTTCCTATGTTCTTGGTCTTCCTCCTCCATAGCCCGAGTCTACTTAGATATGTAGCTATGTCTCCAGTTCTCTGGCTCGTTGTTCTTGCTACATCTTCGTCCAGGCATGGGGGGGAGGGGGGCATTTATCCTGAAAACATGATACACCGCAGGCACAGGTGGTTCAGAGCAGGCTGGACAAGGCCCTGAAGGGTGGGCCTGGACATCCCATTCTTTTGTCACAGACCAAGTGAGGCCTATTTGACTTGAGTGCTCTGATCTTCAGGAACAGGAAGATCAGACTCTACGAGCCCCTCTTCCACCCTCAGATCAGATACTACAGCCCCTAGCCCCAGGCCTTCAGAGATGGTCTAGGGCAGCCATCACAGACACTGCTCCACTGAGGGACAAAAACCTCTTCAGCCACTCTGGTGTAGGCGATGGGTCAAGGGCGTGCCGTCTTGTCTTTGTAATTACTTTTGTTGCTTTTAATTTGGGGCACGAGGCATGTGTTACAGAAGTCAGAATACAACATGGGGGTCGTCATTTTTCTTCTTCCACCATGTGGGTCCCAGGGATGGAACTCAGGTCAGTGAGCAGCAAGGGTCTTTACCCGACGAACCATCTCATCAGCCCACCTTCCTCTCGCTTAGCATTGCTTTAAAGGTCACTGCATCTGGCTGACCCCTGACATCCTCAAACGCGACGGCAACTGGGGCGCCTGGACTCCATTCGGCTCCTGCTCGCGCACGTGTGGCACAGGTGTAAAGTTCAGGACCCGCCAGTGTGACAACCCACAGTGAGTTGACGTGACGTTGCTGAGGGTCCCAGGGCCTGATTTGTATGGCCTTGGGCGTTGCACTGCTACCTACCAAGTTCAGGGAGAGCACAAGGCAAACCTCCCTGTGTTTATTTCTCCCCGGGAGAAAGCTGGAGTGCTGAGGGAGGGCTCCTTCCCTGACTCAGAGCCCGTCACACCCTAGAAACATCAATTCTTGGTCACTACTCTGGGGCCCACAATCCACTCTAGACACAGCTTTCCTCTGCCATTCTTGGCCTAGGGAGTGGAGGATAGAAAGTGGGACAGAGATGGGGAGTTGGGGGTGCCACAAAGGAGGTTCTCATGGGTCACAGGATGCCAGCAGCCCAGACAGTGGCAGCTGGAGCCAAGCAGCTATTTTGTGGTCAGATGAGAGGCAGTGTTAGGGGCTGCCACTCATGCCCCAGTACCCAGGCTCCTTCCCTTCAGCCCTTCCCTCCTTCTCTGCCAGCTCTGTGACTGCTCACACACATGGTGGGGTCATTTGTCTATCTTGTGTTGGACTATCTGGGGATTTAATTTTGCTTTACCTGAAAATATTGTCACATTAGAATGTCTCATAAAATCATAAACTGATTGCCAGTCTCTAAGCAGGCCAGGTTCAGGATGGCTCAAAAGTCCCTGGACATATCCTGTCTGTCTGGTCTCACTAAGGCAACTAGTTAGGGTTCTTATTGCTGTGACAAAACACCACGGCCAAAAAGCAAGGTGGGGAGAGGAAAGGGCTTATTTGGCTTACACTTCCACATTGCTGTTCACCACTGAAGGAAGTCAGGACAAAAACTCAAACAGGGCAGGAACCTGGAGGCAAGAGCTGATGCAGAGGCCATCCTGGGGTGCTGCTTACTGGCTTGCTTCCCTGTCTTGCTAGGTCTGTTTTCTTATAGAACCCAGGACCACCAGCCCAGGCATGGCACCACCCACCAAGGACTGGGCCCTCCCTCATGGATCACTAATTAGGAAAATACGCTACAGCTGGGCCTCAGGGAGGCATTTCCTCAACTGAGGCTCCTTCCTCTCTGGTGACTCTAGCTTGTGTCAAGTTGACACAAAGCCAGTCAGTATAAACTCCAATTCTCTGTTCCCTGAGGCAGCTTCTCTGTTTCTGTCAGCCCCAAACACTGTCTCCCAGGGAGCCAAAAAGATCAGCAGTCACTGCTGTGGTTAGAAGGGTCACATCTTCATCAAGGTCAAGAAGAGCTGACCTGTGTCTGGCTGCCCCGTCTGTACACAGAAGCCTTCTGGAGCCCAGGCTGTCCTCCCGCACAGAGCCTGGCGGGAAGGTGGAACACTGTGGCCCCTTCAGCAGAGCTGAGGGATTTTCTCTTGCTTTGGGAAGAGAGCTAGAGCCCAGTAGAGAGCTAGAAGCACAAAAGGACCTGGTGGGGTGGAACTGTTCTCCGCACAGTGGGGAAGTTCCTAAAGCTCCTGTTTTCTAAGGTGGACGGACCCAGCCCTACACCAGCTGTCTGGTAGAGCCTCACGCATGTGCAGTTTCACAGTTTCAGGATTGTGCTGGATGTTTTCTGCTGCACGACAGCTCCAGCTCTGTGTGCCCAGGACCTAGGAGGGCATATGGGAGGCTCAACCAGCCCTGGTTATCCTGGGATTTGTAGTCCAGTGGAGCAGGCAGAATCCTAACATGCAATCACAGATCTGTGCCCATGAACAGTCCTGGGCTTCAATGCCAGAGTGAAGGTGGCATGCCCAGGAAAGAGGCTGCCTTCTCAAGAGAGCTCAGATGGGGATGGTTACTGCCAGTTCCTTCTAGTCTTGATGTCCCAAGGTCTGCCTGGCTGGAGCGGTACCCGGGTCCCAGTAGGGCTGTGTCTGTTTACTCTGCAGAGGTCCCCCTTCCATACCTGAGCCTCAAGAGTTTCCCTAAAAATGCCATCCATGGGCAGATCTTTTTCTAGAGACCCCAAGAAGGGGAATCTTTGATTTCTCTCATAGCCCAGCTAACGGGGGCCGCACCTGCTCTGGCCTGGCCTACGACTTCCAGCTCTGCAACCCCCAGGACTGCCCCAACGCCCTGGCTGACTTCCGGGAGGAGCAGTGCCGCCAGTGGGACCTGTATTTTGAGCACGGCGATGCCCAGCACCACTGGCTGCCCCATGAGCACCGGGATGGTGAGCTTCCTGGGGAGATGAGAGGGTGATTCAGCACAGGACCCCAGGTGGAGCAGGCAGGGGCATGCATTGTTTTATATACCATTGATCCTGCAGGGGGCAAGGCTGTGGTGACACTTGGTCTGGCAACATGGTACAGTGCTGGCTAGTGTGGCTGCGGGGTCCTACTCTTGAACAAGGGCTCTGGGCTGGGGGCGTGGCATCCATCCCAGGGGAACCAGAGCACTGGACACGTAGAGGTTGCTGGGTTGGAAGCTCAGAGGGTGCAGCTCCCACAGTGACCATCCAGGGAACAAGGCTAGAGTTGCACGCTGCCACAAGTGTGGGATAGAGCAGAGGCTGACCCTGCAGAGCGATCAGGTGACTTCTGATAAGTAGTTTCCTTTCTGCGGCGATGACAAAATGTCTCAACAGACACAGCTTAGGAAGGAAGGGTTTGTTCAAGTTGACAGTCCCAGGTTGCAGCCCATCGTACTGGAGACATCAAGGCCACAGGCTCCTGATGCTTTCACAGTTGAGAGCAGAGAGAGAATGGATGCCCGAAGGCAGACATGAGCTCAGCTCCTTCTCCCTTTTATAGCACCTAGCACCCAAACCCAGGGAATGGCGCTACTCGATTTCAGACTAGGTCTTCCCACATTAGTTAAAGCGAAGAAGGCAATCCCCTGTGCGCATGGCCACAGGCCAACCTAGTCTAGACCATCCCTCACTGGGATCCTCCCCAGGAAATTCAGTGCTGTGTCAAGCTGGTAATTGAAATCAACCACCACACCACCCTCTCTTACATTACTTTCCATTGCGTGTGACAGAAACTGTGAACCAAACAGGTGAAGCATTAAATGACATTTATTTTGTGTCTTACAGAACTGAAATATTAGTAACTTTAGGCAGAGGAGTGCTTGGCAATTGCACCTCCGTTTTAGTGCCCCCCATAGGATACCCAGCTCCATGAATGTTCAAGTTCCTGTATACAGGAGTGGAGTGTCTGCGCATACTACCTAGCATGCCAGAGATGCCATGAAAATGGTTGTTATTTAGTTACTTTTCTATTGCTGTGATAAAACACCATGATCAAGGTAATATTTTTTTAAAAAAATCGACTTGGCTTATGGTTTCAGAGGGCTAGAGTTCATGATGGTGGCTCGAAAGACCAGCTGAGAACTCACATCTTGGTCTATAACAATGATGCAGAGAGTGAACAAGCCCTGGGGATCCCATGAGCCCTTTGAAACCTAAAGCCCCACCTGCAGTGGCACCTCTCCCAGCAAGGCACACTTCCCACTCCTTCCCCACACCTCCTAATCCTTCCCAAACAGTTCCACCAACTGAGGCCCAAGTATTCAAACAGATGAGCCCTTCCCATTCAAAACCACCTCAGTTGTTAATGTGTATGAGTTAGAGAATAACAAAGAAATGTGCATACAAGGTTGGTACAGATGCAATCCTTTCTCAGGTAGTTCCAGTCGGTTATGGGTTGAGCCCACACATGGAGGGCGTGGTGATAAAAGGCTAGTTCTGCTTCACCTGAGACCTTCTCCCTTCCATGTGTATGAGGTACCATGAGCCTGAGGTACCAATTGGAGTCACCTGCTGTGCTTTACATGTGCTGATGCAGGGTTGAGGGGTGACAGAGCTGATGGGGCTGGAAGATACCCAACCTGGCGACCAAGTGTATCAATTGCTTCTGATAAATTCATGCAGAACAAGAAAAGTGCCAGGGGCTGGAGGTTGACTCTGAGAGGGTCTGGCTGCATTTGGTACTGGCTGCATTTGGTTGATTGAAAACGATTCTTTTCTCTCTCTTTTTTTTTAATCAGCATCATTCATTAAACAAAACAATGGGTTTCACTGTGACACTTGAATACATGTCTGTCGGGGTTGGAGAGATGGCTCAGTGGTTAAGAGCACTGATTGCTCTTCCACAGGACCTGGGTTCAATTCCAGCACCCACATGGCAGCTCACAACTGTCTGTAACTCAACTTCCAGGGGACCTGACACCCATGGCAAAACACCAATGCATATAAAATAAAAAACAACATAAATATTTATAAAAAAAAAAAGAGTACATGTCTGTCACATTTTGATCATGTTGTCCCTCAATTATCTTCTCACCACACTAAACACAAGAGAAAATGTAATACTTGTTTTTCTGAGGCAGGCTTAATTTGTTTACTATGATAAATCCCGTTATACCCAGCTTCCTGAAGACAATGTAATTGTCTTCTTTCCTCCATCCAAATAAAGCTCCATGTGTACACACCACATTTCCCTGGTCCGCTCCTCTGTCCATAGATTCCTAAGCTGGTCCCATACCTTGGCTCTTGTGAACAACTCACATGTGCAGGTGTCTCTAATGGTGTGCTGACTTAGACTCCTTTGGATGTGTTCCCACGAGTGGTGCAGCACAGCACATGGGGATCATAGGTTTAGTTTTCCGAGGTACCGACCACACTGATTTCCACAGAGGCTGCACGCATTTACATCCCCACCCACAGTGAGGGAGGGCTCTGAAGAAGGCTCTTGCGATGGAGACTGGGCAAAGAGCACTTTGCCTCTGCAGAGTCGAAGATCTCCATCAGGCAGGGCTGTAAAGATGGAGGATGTGGGGTATATACACATCCTGGCGGGATCTCTTGGGCAATCTCTTCCTAAGGCTTGCTAGCACCAGAGTCAAAGTCTCAGAAGCCGAAAAGGTAGGAAGGAGGTTGCCATCACCTGTCCCTCTGTGTGTGTGTCCTCCCAGAGCACAGATTTCAGGGACTGGGAGTGGGGCAGATGAGCTCTGAGAACACTGGGCCTTTTCTTTCTGGTGTGATGCTCTTTTGAGAAGGCTCCAGCCTCACACCCTGCTTCTCTCCTTCCAGCCAAGGAGAGATGCCACCTCTATTGTGAATCCAAGGAGACAGGGGAGGTGGTGTCCATGAAGCGCATGGTGCATGATGGGACACGCTGCTCCTACAAGGACGCCTTCAGCCTCTGTGTGCGTGGAGACTGCAGGGTGAGTGCCATGAGGCAGTGTGGACCAAGGCTCTTGATCTGCTCAGGATCCACTGCCTAGGGAATGGTGCTGCCCATGGTGGACTGGGCTTTCCTACATCGATTAACACACAAGAAAGTCTTCCACGACACACTTTCTGGTTCTGGTGCCCAGACACACAGGTGATGAGTCCAGTAGAATGTGGCATCTGGGCTCAGACTAAGCTCTCCATGCTTACAAGGCAAGCCTCAGCATCTCCGGGATGTTTCAAGGAGTGAGCAGGATGTAGGAACAATGTCAAGAACACCTTTTGTTAGGTTCTGACTCTTGACGATTCCACCGCCTCATTGTTGTTCCATTGGAACAAAGCAGCCTAAGCTTTGGGTGAAACCCCTCAGGGCCACCTTGGGGTGTGCTAGGTGGGTGCTCTTGGCGAAGGGCAGTGTGGAGGGGCTAAGGGCAGAGATGCTGCAATAGGATAGGTTCTGTGCTCTACACGAACTGAGGCAGGGAGAGGGCACATGGCACATCATGGCCACGTGGGGTCTGCCTCTCTCCAAAGTCCTTCATCCCCCATGTCAGGAGCTGCTAAGAAGAGGTATACAAATTCAGCTGTGGGAGGGATCAGGTACTATGGGGGATGGGGGGACGCAGGCAAGGGTGTGGTCTTAAAGGTCCCCTGCCCTCTTTTGCCCTGCAGAAGGTGGGCTGTGATGGGGTAATTGGCTCCCGCAAGCAGGAGGACAAGTGTGGCGTGTGTGGAGGTGACAACACCCACTGTAAAGTGGTGAAAGGCACGTTCACGAGGTCCCCCAGGAAGCAAGGTGAGGAGCCCCATCTTCTGCCCTATGGTGGGAAGTCAACAGTGCCCTGTGGGGCTAGACCTCCACATGCCCACACCCCTGGAGGCTCTGTATAAATCCGTGACTGTTTGGGGCTTGGGGCTGTGAGGGTCAGGGGAAAGGGAACCCGATTGGGGATCCTGACTCTGAGCCACAATAGATATGGAGGATGGGGAACAGGGCCTGGGTTACAGGTGGACTTCAGAAGCATGAAGTCAAGGGCCCACAAAGGTCAGTCCCCCTCAGCCCTCCCTCCAGGATTCCCAGCCGCATGACATTGGCTTCCTCCCTCTCTCCTGCCCGCAAATGGCTACCATCAGGACTTCCCTGAATCTAGCATATGGGGAACACCCACAAGCCTCATCCAAAACACAACAGCCTGGTACTGATGCTGGGCTTCTATATGACCCAGCCCTATGGGTTGACCCACAGCAGCTAACTGCATCTGTAGCTTGTCAGTCTGACTCTGACATGGAGCAACATCTCTTTGGTTTTCTTATTAAAGGCCTCAGAGCAAACATGTAGGCTCTGGTGAGGTACCGTGAGCCAGGAATGGTCTCTCAGGTCAGATGCTCAGCACTGGCTGGCCTTGCCACCCCCACACATGGGATTCTAACGTAGTTTGCAGATGTGGGGACTGAGGTGCAGATAGGCCACGTGGCTTGCCTGGGGCCTCCCTTCTACATAGGGCATCTTAGACTCCCAGCATGACAGGGAGCTAGATTCCCACCTGGTTGTTCAGTGGAGGAGATTTCTAGTTGACCCTTCTCCTACCAAGTGCAATTGGGAGTATCTATGGTGGAGTTGCCTTGGAGGGGAGGCCTCTCCTGGGGCGTGTGCCTTGGAGTGGCTTCCTGTCTTCTCATCTGGCTTCCTTTCTACCCCTAAAGAGTACATCAAGATGTTTGAGATCCCCGCTGGAGCCAGACACCTGCTCATCCAGGAGGCCGACACCACCAGCCACCATCTGTGTGAGTCAGAGCCCAAATGTCTCAACAGCTGTGAGACCCCATTCTTCCAGGAGTCAGGGTACCAAAGGTCAGAGCAGAGTACCCAGGCTCAAAGGCTTGGGTTGTGTGGCCAGGTCCTGAGATCAACAGCCCCTGATGGACAGACGTGCATCAGCCCTAGTCCACCTGGCCCAGTCCACTTCCTGGGCTTTCATACATGCATCTTCTTGGGGAGGTCAGAGCTTGAGATCAGAGGGCTTCTCTGACAGCAGCTGCAACCCTGTGTCCCAGACAGGCCATGCTCCTGCAGTTTGCAGAAGCGTGGAAGACCACCCTGTCCAGGGGGCACTGGACCCATGCAGAGGTTAGCCTGGTCTTGGTAGAGCAATCAAGAGCAGGGTGTGACTCCCAAAGCAAGTTGAGCTACTATTGGCAAGGACAGACCACCTAGTGGCAGCTATCGGTGAGGGGGCAGCTGGGAAAAACCCTGTGACCCCCTCCCCATTAGCAGCAGCACGCTGGAGTGCCTGTGTGCTCCCTTTTACCGTTCTCAGCTGTCAAGAACTTGGAGACAGGCAAGTTCATCTTAAATGAAGAGAATCACTTGGACCCCAATTCTAGAACCTTCATCGCCATGGGTGTGGAGTGGGAATACAGGAATGAAGATGAGAGGGAAACGCTGCAGACCATGGGCCCGCTCCATGGAACCATCACAGTCCTGGTGAGTGCTGTGCCAGCCCATGGGTGCACGTGGCCCCAGGAAAAGACGGGAGCTCTAGGATACCCACGCTTCCTCTACGTTCTTCAGGCTTTGCTCTATCAGCCTCTTTCCCTCCAAGTCAGCCACGAGTGGGCATGGGCCCGCACCCCAAGGACTGGGATTAAAGGCATGCACCACCAACGCCTAGCTAATTTAAATTTTTTTAAATGTTGTAACCGGCAGACTGTGAGGGCCTAGCTCTATATATATTCTCCTTAGTGGCTGTCATACAAAAGTGCTTTGGCTGCACCTAAACTACAGCCAGGACTCACTGCCACCATCAGGATCACTAGACAGTGGCACCGCATCCAATAGCCAGGGAAAAGGTTCAAATTTTAAACTCCAAGTGCCGTTGTAAAGTTGAAAAACCTTTCAAGATGACCATCATACGTCAGGGACTGTCTGTCTGCCCTGGTTGTCTGTCTGCCTGATGCCTCTGAGTTGGCTATAGAGGAAGGATGAAAAGCTGGGCATTCATTCTCATGACCATGTTGGGGTGGGCCCAGGTTATCCCCGAAGGAGACTCTCGGATCTCACTGACGTACAAATACATGATCCATGAGGACTCGCTCAATGTCGATGACAACAACGTCCTGGAAGACGACTCTGTGCGCCATGAGTGGGCCCTGAAAAAGTGGTCTCCCTGCTCCAAGCCCTGCGGTGGAGGTGAGGGGGGTTCTCACTGCTGGGGCTCTTGGGCTTGATCAGAGGTGGGCACCCCTGGGTTGAGACTCACTGTGAGCCTAGAGGAGGCTGGGGCTGCTTGAATAGGCTTTCGAGTGAAGTTTCCTGGGCCAACAGCGCCCTCATGATGACAGCTCTGAGGCCAGGGAGTTTGTCCTGACAAATATGAAGGATGCGGGGGAGCGACACAGCAGTGACCTCCATTGGAGAGATCAAAGGCTTAGCCTAGGCTGGGAAAGGTCTGTGAGTTGGGAAGGGAAAGTGGTTGGGGCATCAGAATGGCCTGTAGGGTGTAGTTCACATCACAGACAGCATCAGAAGGCAGAGAGCAAGGCAGCCCCGTGAGAGGCTGTGAGTGGATCAAGCAGCAGTACTAGCAAGACTCCAGAAGCACTGGGGACACTTCTGGGGAGCCCCCTAAGTCTATTCAGAAAAACACCACAAACCTGATCCGTCTAGAGTTGGGGACTGGGAGAGATAAAGAGAAAGAGTCTCCGCTGACCTCAAAGAATTAGAAGTGGCGGGGGAACCTCATCCTGAGCAATGATACTCTCAGCTTTCTGGTCTGCCTCGATGGTGCACCATCTCCACACCCACTCCACCTGGATCTCACCAGCAGGCCCTTCTGATTCTGGCTGCAGTTGTCAAGGCTCTATCTGCACCATCATCCTGTTGACCTTTGGGAATCCACTCTAGGTCCCAGAATGACCTTCTAATGAATCAGGGCTGGAGATACAGATATGTGGTTAACATACTTGCCTTGCAAGATGAGTAGCAGAGTTCAGATTACAGAAACTGTGTACAAGTGGGATGGGCATGAAAGCTCTCCTATAATTCCAGCCTTGGAAGGCAAGAGATTAGGGAATCCCCAGGGCAAGCTGGTTATTGATACTAACTACAGTGGCAAGCTCTAGATTTGATTGTCAGGTCCTGGGTCAATCAATAAAATGGAAGAGGAATCAGGGATGATCCTCAAACATCGTCTGCGGGCCTCCACAGAGTGCACACATGCACACACACACACACACACACACACACACATGCTCACACATACATATGAAAAACTAAAATAAAGGCATGAGCCAGACCCTCCCCTGTCCTGTGTTGTGACACCTCCAGTAGCCCCCTCCTTTTGTAAGACCAAAGCCAAAATTCTCCCTGTGGCCTCTGAGGCCCTGGCAAGCATCTGGGCACACTCATGTTCTATGCCTTACCTCCCCATCTTGGCCATACCAGCTTCGGGTGTAGTATTTGATTTCCGTCATTGTAATGAACCCCTGAGATAAACAACTTATAAAAAGAAAACTGTGTTTCCACTCACAATTTTGGAGGCTTCATCCCATGGTTAGTGGATCCCATTGCTCTGAGCTGTGTCCAGACAGCAGATCATAGCAGGAACAGATAGACAGCAGAAGGAGCAGCTCTCCACCTTACCTGCCTAGCCTAGCAGGTAAGAGAGGGAAGAAAGGGCTGGGTTCCCAGTCTCCGCTTTGGAGACCACATCCTCAGTGATCTCTTAGGCCCCACCCCCTTCAGATAGCCCTGCGGGATGGAGGCCAGGCTTTTCACATCCTTGCCTGGTCCACAGCAAATGCTTGTCCTGAACACACATTGCTTCTCTGGGGGAGATCTGTGCGATCTCACTGTCCCCTCCACCCCATTTCACGGGTCAGCACCCCTTAATCCTCTGCTTCCCAAGAGGCCTTTGGATGGCCAGTCTAGGGCAGGCTGCCTGGATGTGCTTAGATTCTCTTGTAGACTCACTAGATACTATGGAAATTCAGGTTCTGTTATTCTCTGTCCTGGGGTGGGGTGCCGTGCATTGGAGGAGGCTGAGCGGTACTCCCAGCCTCTAGCCACTAGATATCCCAGATATTTCCCATTAATCTCCAGTACCCACATGGAGAAAGACTGTAGGAGTCAGTGACAACAAGGAGCCACGCAGACCAGGTGTCCTGTGTTGGTTGATCAGACCCCAAGATAGAGCAAATGGCTCAGTGATGGAGGGGAACCATCAAGAGAGCCTGCATTCTTGCCCTCCCTTTGATGGGGTCAAAGGTGAGTTCCTACAGAGATCTCCCCAAGGCGCCTGCCTCGCTCTCTAAGTCATTTTAAGGGCAAGGAGGAATAGAGCATGGTGGCCCAAACCTGTCGTCTTAGCCCTTGGAGGACCGAAGCAGAGAGATTACAAGTTTGAGGGAAATCGGGACAAAGAATGAATTCAATGCTAGCCTGGACTATAGAAAGAAGAAAGCAGAGGCCAGAGGAGAATGGGGCCAATACTGCTGGTGGAGGCCCAGCCTCTCCAGCCCCCTTCGGGGTCCCACTGCCCCATTGAGCCCCTTCAAGTTCTCTATCTTCAGGGTCCCAGTTCACCAAGTATGGCTGCCGCAGGAGGCTGGACAGCAAGATGGTGCACCGAGCCTTCTGCAGTGCCCTGGCCAAGCCCAAAGCCATCCGTCGAGCTTGCAACCCTCAGGAGTGCTCCCAGCCTGTGTGAGTCCTGGAAGAGGGCCAGTGGGGGAGGGGGTGAGTGAAACTGGGCCTATCGGAAGCCCTGGGCCTGGTATCTCTTGGTGTGTTAGGATTTTTACCCACCACACCATGGTTTAAAGGTGCAGGCCCACCCACTTCTGACCCACTAAATGGAAGCTCCACATGCATCTCATAAAAGACAAAAACTGTTAACACTTAGGTGGGGAAACTGAGGCCCAGAGGTCCTGGGCTGGCTTTCAATGCTGCCCGAGATGTTTCTAAGCAACAGTGCTGATTCTCAGACCCTCGGACTGGCAGGATGTATTTCTGAGCCCAGGTCAGTGAAGGTGGCTGGATAGAGAAGTAGGGACAGGGGCCCAGGGAGGGTTCATAACGCCCTCAGACGATGAGACTGTGGTCAAGATAAGGACCCTGAGGGAACAGACAGGTGGCAGAACCCTTTAGGCCACTAATCCCATGAGAGCCTCTTGGATTCTGATAGGCAGGGGCGTATCTGAGGCTTAGCTTCCTCTCCTCGTAAGCCTGCACACATGGCAGGTGCTTTTATGAACGGAGGGAGAGCCTCAGTTCCCAGAGGGAATGGGCTGACATCTCTGCTCTTACTGCCCACCTGGGCCACAGCCAGACTGTTTCCCTGACCACTTGCCACTCCACCCGGCAGGTGGGTCACCGGTGAGTGGGAGCCTTGCAGTCAGAGCTGTGGGCGAAGCGGCATGCAGGTGCGCTCCGTACGCTGTATTCAGCCCCTGCACAACAACACCACCCGCTCTGTGCACACCAAACACTGCAACGACCACCGTCCTGAGACCCGTAGGGCCTGCAACCGTGAGCTCTGCCCTGGGCGGTGGCGGGCTGGGTCCTGGTCCCAGGTAAGCTGTTCTCTTGACCCCATGTCCTTGACCCCAAACTGAGCTTGGAAACGTCTGAGCTAGACAGCCATACCATTGATATAACTCCTGTCCCCCAGGCCACAGCCCAGGTTTGAGAACACCAGTAAGAGCCATAGCATGGAAGTCCAGGTCTTCCATCAGGGAACCAGCTACATAGTGATGGAGTGATGGACCTCAGATCCCAGGAGAACAGGGAGCAGATATTTACCGTGCATAAATTGCACTGCTGGTTTAAACTACCTAGTTGAGCTGATAAAGCCTGCCCCAAGGCCATAAGCATGCAGAAGCTTTATTATTATTATTTTTTATTTTTATCACATAGAACTTTCCATGAGTTAGGCCCCCAGAAATTGCACAAGAGTCATTCCTCAAAACAGGCTGTTGCTTGGGAATGGGAGGAGCTTGAGAATCCCAAGTCTGCTGAATTACTCTTCCCCATATTCACGGTAAGGGTGCAGGGCTGGGTTAAATGAGTCACAGTGCCAGTGGGGTATGAGTGGACTTCTGGTTCCTCCCCAGGGACATGAAGTGTGGGTGGGGAGCTAGAGGGTACTGGAGCCTTGTGTTAGAGGAGGGATTGCCAAAGGCTCCAGGACTGGATCAGAGACATTGCAGGAGCCCCAGCCTACTACAGGTTTTCCTGGGCCTTCAGCATCCTTTAGCGAGTGAAGTGTGTTAAACCATTTTTCATTAGCATAATGAGGTGCTTGAGCGCTTTCTGTGGAGAAGGTTTGTGGGCAGACATGCTTTATAGTCTCTCCTTATAATGGCATTGCTTTCCTCCGTCGTCTAGATTATCCTACCTCTGCTTTGAAGCTGGCATACAAAGTGAAGGGTTTTATTATGGCGTCTTCACACACGTGTTCTAATTCGCTTCCCTTTCCCATTACCCTCTCCCCCCTTTTTCCTGTCCCCAAGTAGTACCCCTCAAGAGTGTCATGATCTTCACACACACAGAGAGAGAGAGAGAGAGAGAGAGAGAGAGAGAGAGAGAGAGAGAGAGATCCATATATGGGGAGAAACAGGATTTGTCCTTCTGATCCCAGATTATTTTACTTAATCGAATAGGATCTCTAACTGTATCCATTTTCTAGCAAGTGCCATGATTTCTTATTTCCTTATGGCTGAATAAAATTCCATCACGCGGGATCTGGTGGTTAAAGCACTTGCTGTGCAAGCACAGAGACTGGGGTCTGGATTCCCCAGCACTCATGTAAATGCCTGCTAAGCATAGCAGCCGGCGGGTAGTTCCGGAGCTCAGAGTCAGAGATGCAATCCCAGGAGCAAGCTTGCTAACTAGATTAGCTGTGTCCGTAAACTCAGAGTTCGGATGAGAAACCCTGACTCGATGAATAAGGTGGTGGTGGTAGGGGGTCAAGAAGACTCTGAATGCCAGCCTCAGACCTCCACATATACACACATGTGCACCTGCCTATCATATATGCACCCACGCATACAAACACTTACATATGTGTATCTCTCTCTCTCTCTCTCTCTCTCTCCATCTCTCTCTCTGCATCTCTTGATGGACAGGTAGGCTGGATCCATTTCCTGGCTAGTGCAGATACCTCTGTAGTATGTTGACTTAGAATCCTTTGGGTCTAGATGCAGGAGCAAGGGGCCAAATAGCAATTCTGTTTTTACTTTCCTGGGGACTCACTCTCCATAGGGATTTATGGCAGTGTAGAGGGTTGCAAGCTACTGTATAAAGAGGCTTCTTTAGTTCATGGTTTTGAAGGGTTTAGGCCATGGTGCTGGCATTATCAACTTTGTCCTTATGAGGGAGGACCTCATGACATATGGCACCATGATGGGCTGCATGGGAGAATGACCCCATGGAGAAGCAGGCAGCCAAGGTCCAAACAGGTCAGGAAAAGCCCCCACTAGGTTTTGCTCCCCTTCCCATTACCACCACAGTGGGGACAGAGCTGCCAACACACATGTCTGGAATGACATGCTCAGATTATATCCAAACTGTGGGAGGAAGGGAGGACCCAAGGTGCTGGTGTCACAGTAGCCCTGAGGAATGGGCATATGCATTCTAGGAGAGCCCCCAAGGGACAAGACCCACACCATCTCCCATGGGTCACCAGTCACACAGCCGGGGAGCATGAGGCCCAGTATGGGAGGTAACCCTGAGTGATGGTTCTGTACCTACAGTGTTCGGTAACCTGTGGCAACGGCACCCAGGAGCGACCAGTCCTCTGCCGCACTGCAGATGATAATTTCGGTGTCTGCCGGGAGGAACGGCCCGAGACAGCAAGGATCTGCAGGCTTGCACCCTGTCCCCGTAAGCCCTGTGCCACCCCTGGCCCCCAGCATGCAACAGCCTAGGAGAGGGGAAGTGGGGGCCTGGTGCAGTCAAATTCTACTCTTCTTCCAAAATGGCTGGGCTTGTCATGGGTTCATGGGTGAACTTGAACTTGAAAGCCCCGCCAGAGCTGAGACTTTCCCTAGAAATAAATAGTATGGGGGGGGGCAGTTGACACATGAGTGTCCTTGGACAGGTCCTGATGTGCACAGAAGAGAAGTCTCAGCCCATCCCTGCCTTCATGGCATGTTGTTACAGCACTAAACTCCAGTGCCCCACAGTGAACCACAGCACAGCAGGAGTGTGGCCTATGCAATAGAGATGCCAATGTAGGAAGGGGATGCCCATGTGAGTAGAGGGTGCCCTGTGTTCTTTGATAACAGCAGCCAAGAACACTGCAGATGTCTGGTTCAGTATCACGTGTGTTTCAAAATCTTGATCCACATCGCAGCTCAAGGCTAGAACCCCATCTCCACTATTCTCTTCTTCTACAGAGGACAGAGTGCAAGAAGTCCTGGTAGGGGTGGCAGGATTTGTCATCCTCGCCATGTTTCTCCAGTGACAGGTTAGAGTGACAAGGAACCCCGGAAGTAAGGTGGGGTAAAGAAGGTGAAGGAGCCAGACATGAATTAGTAGGTGGATGGGCCCAAAGTGGGTAATTGCAGAGGCATTGCTGGGTCCCAGGACGCAGACAGGCAGGAGACTAGACCAGTTTATCCAGGAACGGGAACCATGCCTCCCTATTGCCCTGGGCCCCAGGATGCCCAAGGCAAGCTGCATTGCTGTGGATGCTGTGGTGGTGATCGTGGTTGTGGTCCTTTATGGTGCCCTGGCAGCTGCAGCCTCCTCTTTTCCTTCCAGGAAACATCTCGGATCCATCCAAGAAGAGCTACGTGGTTCAGTGGCTGTCCCGGCCTGACCCTGACTCACCCATCCGGAAGATCTCGTCAAGTAACCGACCCGTTTATAACTCTGCCTCTGCCCTCCAGTGCATGCCCTGCGCCTTGTGGAGCTTGCCTTGGGCTCCCCTCCTCTCTCTCTATGGAAAGCTTCCCTGACTCCTGCTGAGCGCTCTCTGGGTGAATCTGTTTCCGCTGGGCCTGTGTGCTCAGCCTGCTCCTTCTGAGCTTGTCCGGCTTGGTGGCGGCGAGCGAGGGCCAGCCTCAAGGAGGCCTGGTCTGGGGACACTGGCCTCTTGTAGGGGGCCAGGACCTGGTTTTGCGATGGCTTGAAAAGGGGCAAAGATCTGTTGTGGTGCCGGAGGGGCCTGAGGCCACTGTGCGAGTGTGAGCACCTCGCCATGGCGACTGCCTCATTGGGCCACATCCCTCCAGGCTGAAGCTGCGGGTCAACTCCAAGGGGAAGCCAGCCCCATCCCCTTTCAGACGCCACCACCATTGAGGTGAGGCCACAGGGGTCTCTACGGTGTGCGTTTTTTTTTTTTTTTTTTTGCATCTCCTGTGCCGGGGTGACAGACCCCAAGTTTCCTGCGGTGTCAGGGGCTTCCCGGCTGCTGCTGCTGCCACTGCTGCTGTTGCCCTTCGCTGAGTGTGTCCTTTCTGACTTGTGAAACTATGGCCTGCTTCCGTCCGGCCTTTGCACCCATCCTACATGGCCCTCGGCCCCCCACCCCCCTGTCCTCTCATATGGAGGAGGAGGCAGGGAGACAGGTCCCTGAAATGGGACGTCATGGACACACCACCACTTCCATTCTCGGTCCATTTGCTCCAATGGCCTTTTTCTTGTTGTGTGCATATGACCCGTTCAGAGGATTGAAAGTGAGATTGATTGATTGACGACTGACTGATTGACAGATATGGATGTGCCTCACCTACCAGTGTGAACAACTACAGAATACCTCAATTTTTATTGCTTTTTTGCTTAGAAACACTATGTAGAAGATGCCTTAAAGTTGAAAGCTAACAGAATTGGCTGCTGACTCCAGCCTCAGGTGGGGGGTGTGATCCGGGTAGGAGGCAGGCACTGAAGATCTGGGGGGACCCCACCCATTCTGCCCACCTTTTGCCAAGGGTAAAGTTTCTAAGTCCAGATGGCCTTGCTTCCTCTCTGAACCATCCGCGTGTGAAGGGTCTTAGCAGGCCCTCCATCTATCTCTGACAAAAGGGGTCCTCCTCTGACACCCACCTGGCCAGTTGGCGTGGACTGTTTAGCGGAGACTCCTACAAGGAGCTCTCACAGCGCGGCCTTACACCCAGAGGGTGACACACCTGGGTCCTTAGCCGTGACCAATGTAGCACTCCCAACTGACAGTCCTACCAGCCCCACCTGGCCCCAGCCACCTTCATCTGTTAATAACTCTAATTCCTGCTGGACCACGCAGCCAAGCCTCCTCCTACTTCCCTTGGCACTAATTACTGTTATGTAAATAATTGGTGTGTAACTGCAAATTAATCCTCTCACGACTGTTAACTTCCAACTTTGACGAGGCAATGTGAGTGACCTGTGTGGTTGCAGATGGTGCAACTCGGTCCTGGGCATTTGCCTCCCGTCTGTACGCACTTTGGTTTATCAGGGATATTTTATTAGTATTTTGTATGTACTTAATGACGTATTATGTAGGTTTCGTTGTCGTCATTGCTTTTCTGGGTTTTTTTTCTTTCTTTTTCTTCCTTTCCATGAGACATTAGTGTGTGCCAAAGTGACTGTGAAAATGACCTTTTATTCTTACTAATGATGGAAAGACCTCTTGTCATGCATCCCACAAATAAACTCAATAAAAGTTCAGTTCAACTGGGAGCTTGGGTTTGGTCAGCTGGCGGCTTGTTCTTTTCACCTTCCTGGCAGGCAGCGCTGAGGTGCCATGCGGCACCATCCAGTAGCACTAATCACCTGGTTTCTGGCTCCAGTGACTTCGTGGCCCCCCACCCCACCCCCCTGCCCAACATAGATGTTTAGGGCCCATCTTTCACTAACACACATACCAAAGAATTTTTCAAAGTAGGTCTGTTGCACTCCATCTTGAACTGTCGGTGCAGAGTACCTTACAGAGATGTCTAGTTTTTCTGCTCCTTGGTGCTGCCTGGGTTGGTTTCTTCTTTTCTTGGGGTCAGAGCAAAAATGTGGGGTACGGGTTATGTCTCCAGAGTCACTGTCAGGCCCTTGCCCTGCCTTGAGATATTTATTCATCAAGAGTAGATTCTTCTCAACCAAAGGATGGAAGAGGGGTGTGGTCTTGGGAAAGTTGGTTTAGGAGAAGCAGGGCAGTGGGTTTTTTTTAATATTTATTTATTTATTATGTATACAATATTCTGTCTGTGTGTATGTCTGCATGCCAGAAGAGGGCACCAGACCTCATTACAGATGGTTGTGAGCCACCATGTGGTTGCCGGGAATTGAACTCAGGACCTTTGGAAGAGCAGGCAATGCTCTTAACCACTGAGCCATCTCTCCAGCCCCAGGGCAGTGGTTTTGTGTGTTTGTATGTGTGTGTGTGTATGTGTGTGTATGTGCATCCCTGCCTGCCTGTACTGCCTAAGTTTTGCTCTTAATAGCCACAGGGCCTGTGTCCTCTCACCCACCAACCACAACCAGGCAGTGGGTCAGAGTTCAGCAGGGACCTCCTCACCTGAGGTCTGTTTTGTCCGGTGGGTGGGACTCCTGCTCCACGTTCCTCAGTGCTGGGGAGCAGTAAGGTCAGGAGGTAATGAGAAAGAACAACAGGAGATGGCCCAGCATCTAGGAAATAGGATTGGCAGCCCAGGCTCTCGGCTCCAGAAATGTCACAAGAGCTGTGCTTGGGTCTGCTGCCCATAGCTCTGCTTGTTAATCAAAGGAATCATAGCTGAAGAGAAACGGGAGCCCCAGGATAGTCGTGTTGACAACTCTGTGTCCCTCAGTCCATCTCTCCAGAAATGAGTCATGACTAGCTGCCCTCTAAGGGAACCCAGGGGGCCACCTGCACAGGGCACATCTAAGATCCGTGATGGAGGGGAAGGTGCCGCTCATTTTATAAATGAGTTTCATGAGGTTTTGATGATGAAATGGGTGCGTGAGCCCACCACTAATTTGCCATGATGTATTTGCTCCCACCAAGTGACCCCTCCTGTTTCTCTTTACCCTTTATGACATCGGGGAGAAATTCTTGCTTTGTGCCTTTCCCAACATCTGTCACACTTTACTTTCCCTCTAACTCAGAGTTCTGTGCAGGCCTATGCTGCTAGAGATTGGTGATTTTTAAAAGTGACTTTGCCTTTTCTCTGTATTCACATTTGAGGCTAGCCATGGCACGTGTCTTCTATGAATGAATGACACTAGGATCAATTTCCTCCTAAAATAAATGATAACTTTTAAAGGGCATTCAAGAAAACTACTAACAGGAAGCAATCAGTAATCCAGATGGAATTCATATGCCACCAAGACTCTGGAAAGGGCACACAGGTCTCCCATCCAAGCACTAACCAGGATTGGCCATGCTTAGCTTCTAAGATGACTTTATGAACAATGTGTACATTCTCAATGGTTTAGCATCATTGCTTAGAAGTCAATAGTTTTGGTCACCCATGGTGGTGCATGCTTTTAATCCCAGCACTTTGAAGGCAGAGGAAGGTGGATCTCTGTGAGTTCAAGGTCAGCCTGATCAACACAGTGAAAGCCTATCTTAAAAAAAAAAATCCAAGAGTTCTTGCTATTTAGTTGCCCCTGGGAATGGAATGGAAGATCAAATATCATAAGAATTAAAATTATCTTGGCAGCCTCGGGACACACAGCTCAGCCTGCAGGAAGTGTAATTGACAGCTTCTCTATCTAGGAGAGCTGTCTGGTCAGCAGAATTGTTTAAAAAGACACACCGCTGGAGTGCTTTCAATAAGGGTGGTAACCACCCCTTGATCGTGCAGATGGCTACATCCTGGAACAAAATGGTCTAGTATTTACATATGATGTGTGCATCCCCCCAAACACCTTGCCCCCCCATTTTATATAATTCCCAATACAATGTAGCAGGCACACATAGCTGTTTTACTGTGTTGTTTTTTGGAATAATGACCATAAAGGAGCCTGCTTAATATGGTGTTTTTCCCAAATCCTGTCCATGGTTAACTGGATCCAAGAATGTAGAACCTGTGGGCACAGAGGGCTGACTGATATGTTTTTCTTGGTTGTTATTAGTACACCAAGCTTTTAACCCACGGCTTTTTTGATTCACTTATGGGTTTGTTTAAAACTTGAAGTTTTGCCGGGCGGTGGCGCACGCCTTTAATCCCAGTACTCGGGAGGCAGAGGCAGGAGGATCTCTGGGAGTTCGAAGCCAGCCTGGTCTACAAGAGCTAGTTCCAGGGCAGGAACCAAAAGCTACCAAAAGCTATGGAGAAACCCTGTCTTGAAAAGCCAAAAAAAAAAAAAAAAAAAAAAAAAA